TGGTGTCATTATTGCTCTAGGTTCTCTGTCTGTTTTATGCTGGATATATTAGTGCTTTGCTTTTGAATTACCAGGCTTTATTTAGTGCAGAGTTACGTTTTTTGGAGAGACATTGAGAAATGCTGGCATTAAGCTTTATTCTTTTGTTTTTCATTCCAAATGGACAAACTGGAAAAAAAAATAATTAGATGGAATAATGTCCTCAAAATGAGAATGAGGATGCTTTGAATTAATTAAATGGTCAGAATGCTGTACCATTTCTGATCTCAAACTGCTACCAGAGTATCGCAAACCTAAAAGGAACTTAAATCCAGCCCACAGAGGCAAACCTCACTTTTGGACTCTCCATTCCTCTCACTGCTCTAAAGGAATCAAAGTCTCATGCCCTGGCTTTTTATAGGATGAGCTGGGCAAGTTTAGAGAGAAACTGGATGAGCCCTGCAGACTTCTGGGCCTTCAAGCCTTTTCTGGGGCCAAGCTTCAGGAATGAAGCCTCACCTCTTCCTCTCTGCAAGGCCTTTAAATAAAATCCACTTTACCAGGTTTTTATTTTTATTATTTTTTATTTTTTTTAAGTCGGAGTCTCACTCTGTCACCCTGACCGGAGTGCAGTGGTCACTCCCGGCCACTGTACCCTTAACCTGCTGGACTCCGGCAATCCTTCCGCCTCAGCCTTCCAAGTAGCTGGAACTACAGGCATGCGCTACCATGTCCAGTTAATTTTTGATTTATTGTAGAGATGAGGTCTCGCCAAGTTGCCCAGGCGGGTCTCGAACCCACGGGCTTAGGCAGTTTTTTATTTTTATTTATTTTTTATTTTATTTATTTATTTTTTAGTTGGAGTCTCACTCTGTCACCCAGGCTGGAATGCAATGGCACACTCACGGCCACCACAACCTCCACCTGCCGGGCTCAGGTGATCCCTCTGCCTCAGCCTTCCAAGTAGCTGGAACCACAGGTGTGCGCCACCACACCCAGCTACATTTTTGATTTATCATAGAGACAAGGTCTCACCAAGTTGACCAGGCTAGTCTTGAACCCCTAAGCTCAGGCAATCTTCTCACCTCTGCCTCTCACCTCTGCCTGGGATTACAGGCATGAGCCACCCCGCCTGGCCTACTTGATCAGGTTTTTATTACACAACTAAACCTTGGAAAAGTCTTCTCTAACCCCTCAGACTATGTTCTCCTTCACAGACATGTCATAATCATCAATAAATATTTGTGTAACTGTTTTTTCTACGGTGACTTCGCCCACTAAAAGGTAACTCTGAGAGCAGGGCCCCTGTGTGGCTAGCGTGGAATTCCCAATGTTCAGCATATTCCTTGGTAGTTGGCAGGTGCTGTGTACATGCCTGTCAGATGCTGAGGAACAAACTAGCAAAGCTGCATTCACACATACACATAAATGCAAATCACATACATGTTAAACAGGGAGTCTGCAGATACAGAATCCAATCTCGTCCTGCTCAGGAATTATTCCTCAGTTATTTCCTTAATATCAGAATATTTCTATCTAGATAGCAAGTCCAGCCTTTTCTTAGTTTTCGGTCCTTCGTTCTGCTTATTTTTCAGAGCTGTCGTGTAAGAGTTCTAGTTCTAGCCGGGCTCGGTGGCTCAGCCTGTAATCCCGCGCCTTTGGGAGGCTGCGGTGAGTGGATTGCCTGAGCCCGCGGGTTCGAGACCCGCCTGGGCAGCGAGACCTCATCTCTGCAATAAATGAAAAAATCAGCCGGGCTATGGTAGCGCCTGCCTGTAATTCCGGCTACTCAGAAGGCTGAGGCGGAAGGATCGCCGGAGCCCAGCAGGTTGAGGCTGCGGTGGCCGGGAGCGGCCACTGCACTCCAGTCTGGGTAACAGAGTGAGACTCCAACTCAAAAAAAAAAAAGAGTTCTAGTTCTTTTTTTTTTTTTAAGTGAGAAAGCAGAATTTATTGAGAGGACAGAAAAGCTCCCACAGTGGGAGAGGACCAAGTTCTAGTTCTGACAATCCACGTTCTTGAACTGGACAAAACCATCTCCTAGATTCCTGAACTCTAATCTTCTTTGGGCCTTTAACATCGAAGGTCCCTTTTCTATGGTTATTTTTCCTGGAAGGCTTCTGTTTTCCTCCTAGCTTTCTGCTTTCCCTGTGATGGATTATGCTTTTGAATAGGTCTTTTTCCAGGTGTTCTCCCAAGGCCCCATATATACCAACATCACTCACTTTTTACATATACACCAAAAAAGTACTCATCATCGTAGGACCTATCCCACATCCAGGCACACTGTGGGGAGCAGCATCCCAAAGTGACCATCTACTAGGCCAGAAGAGGCCAAGGTGGGCCAGGCGCGGTGGCTCAGGCTGTAATCCCAGCACTTTAGGAGGCCGAGGCAAGAGGATTGCCTGAGCCCAGGGGTTCGAGACCAGCCTGGGCAACATGGTGAGACCTCGTCTCTACACTAAATCACAAAAACTAGCCGAGTATGGTGGCATGCATCTGTAGTTCCAGCTACTTGGAAGGTTGAGGCAGAAAGATTGTCTGAGCCCAGCAGGTCGAGGCGGCGGTGGCTAGAACCACTCCAGCCTGGGCGAAAGAGTTAGACTCCAACTAAAAAAAAACAAAAACAAGGTGGCCTTATCAGTCTTCTTACCCTTCAGAAATATCAAGTTATGTTTTCAAAATATATTTTTATAAAAATGATTTTCTCTAGCATATATAAATCCATAAAGAATATTGATGTCAGCAGGGCTCGGTGGCTCAGCCTATAATCCCGCGCCTTTGGGAGGCTGAGGTGAGTGGATTGCCTGAGCCCGCGGGTTCGAGACCCGCCTGGGCAACTTGGCGAGCCCTCATCTCTACAATAAATAAAAAAATTAGCTGGGCGTAGTAGTGGGCGCCTGTAGTTCCAGCTACTTGGAAGGCTGAGGTGGAAGGATCGCCAGAGCCCAGCAGGTCGAGGCTGCGGTGTCCGGGAGCAGCCACTGTACTCCAGTTTGGGTGACTGAGTGAGACTCCAACTCAAAAAAAAAAAAAAGAATATTGATGTCAGTATACTTTTATTCCTAAATTTAGTCAAGATCTTGGGGTGACTAATCAATTCCATTACAATGGAAAATTCATTAAGATATTCTCTGGGAAAGCTGCCTTCACTTTTCAGGGACTAATAGCTCTTTATTATTTCATGTGCTGATGTCCCAAAAAAGCATTGTCTTTTCAATAGTTAACTTATTTCTCCCAAAGTATTTTTCTTCCAAACATATTCTCAACTCTAGCAGAATGTTTTCACGGTAGTTATCTTGTGTGCTGCCCTCTGTCGTCAACTGCACACTTTTCTGTGTAAAGAAAACATGCCCAAGTTTGTACATGGTTGACATTTTTACTTCTGTTTGCAATATCTGAGTCTTAACTAAATAGTTCTATCGCTCCTCTGTTTTTGTGCCCTTTAAGGTTCCTACTAAAGTTCTTTTCCGGAAACACAGGGATTTTGTTTCCCCATGCCTATGTTATTTGACTTGCTCCTATGTCAGGAACAAGTAGAAAGAAGGCAGGACCTCTGCGCTCCCACTGTCCACTTGCCCCTGTCCTCAGCAACCAGAGCCTCATGGGAGGGTCAAGACAAGTGAAAGGGAAAGTAAGCCGGGCTCGGTGGCTCAGCCTGTCATCCCGCGCCTTTGGGAGGCTGAGGTGAGTGGATTGCCTGAGTCCGCGGGTTCGAGACCCCGCCTGGGCAACTTGGCGAGACCTCATCTGTACAATATATCCAAAAATCAGCCGGGCGTAGTAGCGCACGCCTGTAATTCCAGCTCCTTGGAAGGCTGGGGTGGAAGGATCGCCGGAGCCCGGCAGGTCGAGGCTGCGGAGGCCGGGAGCAGCCACTGCACTTCAGTCTGGGCGACAGAGTGAGACTCCAACTCAAAAAAAAAAAGCAAAGGAAAGTAAACAGAGTCCTCAAACATCACGTGTTCGTCAGTTAGAACGCAGGACTCCTGACTCCATTGATGGAATTTCATCTTTGTTAGGCGTTTTGTTCACAGCTCTCACACACAGCATCCTAAGAGCCAGGAGCATCCCTGGTCTAGTGGGCATTAGCTCTCCCGCCATTCAAATCCCCAGATCCTCTCCCACTTTGTACTCTAGCATTTAACCTTTCCGGGTAGAAGAAGATCAATACAAATTCTTCATTGTTAAGAATCGATGGCTGTCCTGTGGCATCATTGCCATCTAGTCTTGCTGAGAAGCCCAGTAAATCTCTCCAGCAGCTTCTGAAGCTTGGTTTGTCGTCTTCGGTTGCTTTCATTTTTAATGCAGATCACTTTGGTTTCTGCTCCCCTGGGGGCTTGCAGATAAATCTTGGCAGACATGTTCAGGGTCTACAAATGAGATGCTGGAAAAGGGCCAGCCCACCCAGAATTTAGTCATAATGGATGAGACACCCCTTTGGTTCCACTTAAAGAACTGGGCTATTCGTCTCAGTATGTATTGGTGATTACTTCATAGTACCTGCGTGGGAAGTGCCCAGGATAAAGCTCCTGTGTATCTGAGGAGGCCGAAATGTGAGCTGTGATGCGGAAGCTTGCTGGCTGACTCAGCCTCTCTTGTAAACAAGCAGAAGTCTGAGACTTACCCTGAGCCTTCAAATGCATAATGAAGAAAAGCACCAAATAGTTTAGGTGCCCTGGAACATGAGAGTCTGGCGAGAAACCTCTTTGTGCTGCAAACCAAGTGAAAAATTACCTGCCTGATTTTCTTTTATTAATAAATAAATATATGTATCATAGTGTTGAACAGCATCCTACTAGGGGGTGATCTGTAAATATTTAATGTTAAATGTTAGTTAATGATCTCCTTCTCCCATAGTCCTTTGCTCATACTAAATGGCTGCATCTCATCTCGACCTTCCTGAATCTTAGGTTTCCTAGGGACAGCGTCAGAACTCTGGTTTCCATTTGCAACAAAAACGTGGGCTCCTTGGAAAAGACAGAGTCCCTTTAACTTTGATTTCTCCTCTCTTTGATCAGTAGACTATGCCAATTATTACCAGGGCCTATGGGATTGCCATGGTGACCAGCCAGACGAACTGTCCTTCCAACGGGGTGACCTCATCCGCATTCTGAGCAAGGTAAGGACGGAGAGTGTGGGGCTGGGGTCAGAAGTCAATTTTTTCACTCCTGATGATGTAATCACCATAACCAGAGTTACCCCATGCCAGGCACTTCTCTGTGTGTATTACACGGCTCCCTCACGCATATGTTCTCATTTCTTTATAATTCTTAGGGAAATTTTTAATTAAAAATCCAGATTCGGGAACCAATTTTCAAATTTAGCAATACAGTGAGGTTGACATAATACCAAAACTATGCCAATCAAAATTTGATCTTTTTCAGGGACTTGTGCTTAAAGGTCATCACTGTGTACATAATTTATTACCATATAATACTATTGAAGACATTCTGTCTCGGTAAGCCGCCTTATTTCATTTATAGATAAACAGACTGTAACGTAATTACTTATTAGGGGAGGAGTCAGAGCTAGTTAGTTCAATTGGTTTGAACAAGTGCTGATAAGGCCAAGAGAGTGAACCCAAGCCCACACAGGCCTGCTAACTTTACTCTCCTCCTCAGTCCCGTGTTAACCCCTCACTCCCCCCAACCATCTCGCAGGTAGAATTGTTGATCATAAAGAATGGGATGTTTTTAAAAGGGATGGGATTTTTAAAAAAGGATGGATTGGCCAGGCACAGTGGCTCACACCTGCACTTTGGAAGGCTGAGGTGGGAAGATTGCTTGAGCCCAGGAGTTCGAAACCAGCCTGGGCAACATAGCAAGACCTTGTCTCTACGTTAGCCAAGTGTGGTGGCACAGGTCTGTAGTCCCAGCTATCCCTGGAGCCCAGAAGGTCAAGGCTGCGGTGAGCTGTGATTATGCCACGGTGAGCCATGATCATGCCACTGCATTACAGCCTTGGTGAGAGTGCAACTTTGACTTAAAAAATAGGCCCAGCGTGGTGCCTCACGCCCATAATCTCAGCACTTTGGGAGGCAGAGGTGAGAGGATTGCCTGAACCCAGAAGTTCGAGACCAGCCTGAGCAACTTGGCGAGCCCTCAGCTCTACAATAAATTAAAAACTTAGCCAGGTGTGGTGGGGTGCACCCAGCTACTGGGAAGGCTGAGGTGGAAGAATCACCTGAGCCCAGCAGATCTAGGAGCCGTGAGTGTGACACTGCACTCCAGCTTGGGTGACGGAGTGAGACTCTGACTAAATAAGTAAATAAAAATATGCAAAGTAAATAAAATAAAATAAAAAGGATGTGTTGAGCAACCCCCTTGGGTCCCCTCTCGCTCTGGGACCTTTTCTATCCGCTCAATAAATCCTGCTTTCTAAAAAAAAAGATGTGTTATTGCAGATCCATTCCTGGTGTGAAGAAGATTCAGATCTCCTGGGGTGCAGTTTGGGGGATCAATAGCTTCATCTTTACAAAGAAAGACCAAGACCACACACATTCTATAGGTGGGCTAAGATAATAGGTTCTGTCCCTAAAAGAATGTATGAAAAAGTTCTCTCTCAGCCGGGCTCCGTGACTCAGCCTGTAATCCCGCACCTTTGGGAGGCTGAGGTGAGTGGATTGCCTGAGCCCACGGGTTCGAGACCTGCCTGGGCAACTTGGCGAGACCTCATCTCTACAATAAATCAAAATGAGACAGGTGTGGTAGCGCGTGCCTGTAGTTCCAGCTACTTGGAAGGCTGAGGTGGAAGGATCGCCAGAGCCCGGCAGGTCGAGGCTGTGGTGGCCGGGAGCGGCCACTGCACTCCAGTCTGGGTGACAGAGTGAGACTCCAACTCAAAAAAAAAAAAAAAGTTCTCTCTCTATGCAGTTAACCAATAACTACAAACACATTTTTTAAATAGGCACAATTTGCTGTTTAATTGCTGAGTATGTGGATTCCATAAGAGAAAACCCAGTGTGTTATTAACCCATCGTTTATCGTTTATCTTTATTCTAAGAATGTCTTTGTTAGTCTTGGTTTGACATATACCATATGCCTTAGGAAACAGACCAGATCAGACCCAAGTTACCTTTCCATGGTTCCCATGAACCTGGCCCCTTTAAACAAAGACCAGATTCAGGCCCAACCCTGTTTGCAAGAGAGAAGGAGGCCCAGCTGAGTGAGATCACAATCTTCTAGTGATTTCTCCCAGATTCCTAACTCAGCACCACCCTACTGCCATTTCGGTGCAGCTCCAATACACCAAGAATAAATTGGAAGCAAAGAAGGGAGTGGACATTGGCCTGATTGGTATTTCAAATGCCCGAAAGCAAGGTTTGCCGTGTAATAGAATTTGTGTACATTACCACGCTGGCATTACAGGGGTAATCGAGTTATCCACTCAGGTGTGACCAGGCCTCTGTTTGCCCAGAGCCTGCAGGTGAACAAATTAACTGTTTACATTGTCTGGAGGTGCCTTCAGCAGGAGGGGGAAAGCACAGAGCCAGACTGGCTGCTGGCCTTCTCTCTGTCATGATTATTTTGTTTGTTTTGTATGTCTTTTGCTTTTGTTAATGGCTTCTCACTGGGGTCCCTTTCCTCTGGTTAGAAGGGGCTGTGCGATGACCTGTCCTGCAGTATAGAGCTGTCTGTTGTTACTTTGGCCATTGTATTTTTAAGAGGTTCCAAAGAACACAGGGAACCAACACCACTTGTTTTTGGTTTTTTTTTTAAAACAACCCCTCTTCCCCTCCTCTGTTACTAAAAGCTAATATCAAAATTGAGCTCAGGAAGACTACCTTGCTGCACTGGTTCTAGCATTGTCTATCTTCACTCACTCTTCTGGAAGGTTCTGAGTTCATTTTCATCCTGTACCATTTGTAGGAACACATTTCTTCCCCCAAAAGCTGCAACAGCCACCTCTCTTCCCAATGTTGCTAATCCCTGAGTATCAGAGGAAATGAGAAGTTAGGAGCTCAGCTGAACTTTCCCTTAAAAAACTTCATTCAGGGCAGGCAAAGTGGCTCATGTCTGTAATTCCAGCATTTTGGGAGGTGAAGGTGAGAGGACTGCCTGAGTCCAGGGATTCGAGACTAGCCTGGGCAACTTGGTAAGGCCTCATCTCTACAAAAAATTAGCCCAGTGTGGTGGTGCACACCTGTGGTTCCACCTACTTGGAAGCCCAGCAGCTAGAGGCTGTGATGGCCGTGAGCATACTACTGCACTCTAGCCTGGGTGACACAGTAAGACTCTGACTCAAAAAAAAAAAAAAAAAAAAAGGCTGGATGCAGTGGCTCATGCCTACAATCCCAGCACTTTGGGAGGCCGAGGTGAGAAGATTGCCTGAGCTCAGGGGTTCAAGACCAGCCTGGGCAACTTGGTGAGACCTCGTCTCTACAATAAATCAAAAAATTAGCCAGGCATGGTGGCGCACGCCTGTGGTTCCAGCTACCTGGAAGGCTGAGGTGGAAGGATCACCTGAGTCCAGCAAGTCGAGTCTGCAGTGGCCGTGAGTGTGCCTCTGCACTCCAGCCTGGGTAACAGTAAGACTCCAACTAAAAAAAAAAAGTTTCATTCCAGTTAACATTGGTTTGGGGAGCATTTCAGATTGGATTTACCTTTATTATATTACCTAACACAATAAGAGTCCTTGAACAGGAAGAAACCTTAAAAGGCCACCCATTTCATTTCCTTGCTTCTAAGAAGCACAAATGAACAAATTCAAACAGACAGAAAAGGAGATTCTACTACCATTCCCAAGCATCTGTGTATTCAGAAGTTCAGTCATTCCTGCTCTCTGGAATTTTCTCTCACAGGGATCCTAAATTCATTCTGCTTTAGCCCAGCTGGCTTCCTTTGTTGGAGTCAGTTACACTCTGCAGCCTGGCTGTCACACCTGGAAGGACAGAACTGACCCAAGTGGAGTTTGGTCCAGTAAAGGGACGTCTAGAATTCTCCATTTTACTTTTCTTTCTGGCCACTAGACCCTTTGGCAAGAAAGTCCTGCTGTTTAGGACTCTAGGAAGTCTGTTTCCTTGAGAAAGGCAGATACAGCTGTGTGCAGCTTAGCCTGACTGGACTTGTTTCCTCGCAGGGAGTTGAGTTGGATAACATCTAAGATTCCTTTTCTACCTCAGACATTCCCATTCTAAACATGGTGAGCCAGACACTGGAAAATTGCTGAGGAAGTTCTACACAAAAAATGTGTTTTAGCTTTAACTACTTACTCAGTTTAGACAAACAAAAAAACTCCAATTACCAGCTCCTCTGTTTTCAACCCTCAAAAACGCAACTGGTTTCTCCTTCTCTTTGTCTGATAAAAGTAATGGGGAGGGTAATGTTAGATGACCTGGGTAAGGAAGTGGGATGGAGGAGGGAGGATAGGGGAGGATGATGGCTTCAGTCTTAGGCTCCTCCCCGCTCCTCACTGTTTTTTAGTTACCCAAGTGTGATCCAACCATGAATCCTAGAATCCCAGGGTCAAGCTCAGGAGAATCTTTTAGAGTCTTGCCTGTGGGCAGAAATGATTCCCAGAAAAAGAGCTTTTATTCTTTAAAAAAAAAAAAAAAAAAAGTCGGGCATGGTGGTTCAGCCTGTAATCCCAGCACTTTGGGAGGCCGAGGAGAGAGGATTGCCTGAGCCCAGGAATTCGAGACCAGCCTGGGCAACTTCGTGAGACCTCTTCTCTATAATAAGTCACAAAAAATTAGCTGGGTATGGTGCTGTGCATCTGTAGTTCCAGTTACTTGGAAGGCTGAGGCAGAAGGATCGCCTGAGTCCAGCAGGTCGAGGCTGCAGTGGCCATGAGCGTGCCACTGCACTCCAGCATGGGTGACAGAGTGAGACTCCGACTCAAAAAAAGAGAAAGAAATAGAAGCAGTGATTTCTTTTGCCCATACCAATTCTGACATGTCACTCTTTTCTCCCTTCTTTCTCTAATAAACTGTTTTAAAACTTAAAAAGAAACCGGACAGCCAGGCTCAGTGGCTCAGCCTGTAATCCCAGTGCTTTGGGAGGCTGAGGTGAGTGAATTGCCTGAGCCTGCAAGTTCAAGACCCGCCTGGGCAACTTGGTGAGACCTCATCTCTACAATAAATCAAAAAAATTAGCTGGGCGTGGTAGCATGCACCTGTAG